GTTGACTGAAAGCAACGCAGAAATAGAAAGTAGAAATTCTACTCTAATAACGATAACAATTACTATAAATGAAAGTAAAAACATGATACATAATCGCAAAAAAACATAAATCTTCTTTAATGAATTATTTAATTTATACGAAAAATAATAATACACACTAACTTCTCTCCTGCTGTATGTTTCCAGTACAGATCCCGAGTGTGTCAGGGAAGACAAGTCTCATACACAAAAAAAGACAACCGTTTGTCCTTGTAACAAACGGTTACAAGGACACACAAGAACGACATTATGCCATAAGCGCGGAAAATACACCACCACCAACTTTGTATGACTATTATTTGTGTCAACGTAGCCGGACCCAACGTTGGTACATACGAGCGTACTTGGTAAGTTTTGGGGTGCATGTTACCCCTAACCCAATAAATGTTAGTACGATTTATAACTTCAACAATAGAACATCAACAGCCTGTTGTATCGGAACACGAAACGTTTTCGGGTAGATTGGACTTCACCCTCCTTCCCTTTCAGAGGCAAATGCTTTCTTTTTTACTGTTACAAACTGACGAAAAATGTCCATAACGTAATTGCCGGACACAGTTCATACCGACAGTAATCACCTCCTCCCAGTAATACAGAGGTTGGCACGTCAAGTTGCATGCAAGTTAACAGCCCACATGTTAACGAGCATGGGCGTGAGGGGTAGTGGGGGAAGTGTAGAGGTGGTGCGTGAGTTTGGAAAGTTGGGATGAGTCCAGATGTGGGCTGACGCCAAACCTATTATTACTACTGCTACTGCTGCTGCTACTTCTGCTGCTACTACTACTGTTACTGCTACTACAACTACTACTACTACTATTAATAATAATAATAATAATAATAATAATAATAAATGCTGTTGATTAGCCTGTTCTCCTTGTAACACGTGGTGCGTGAGTTTGGAAAGTTGGGATGAGTCCAGATGTGGGCTGACGCCAAACCTATTATTACTACTGCTACTGCTGCTGCTACTTCTGCTGCTACTACTACTGTTACTGCTACTACAACTACTACTACTACTATTAATAATAATAATAATAATAATAATAATAATAATAATAATAAATGCTGTTGATTAGCCTGTTCTCACGATGTGACACACTTACAATAAACATATATTTCTGCACCAATACACACAAATCCACATAACCCATTCTAATTAATAGAGAAAAATGTATATTTCCATATTTTACAAAAACATTACATTTTTAAGTACGAATCCCCTAGCCTAGGGAATAAATATAACGCATTAGGCTAAGTGTGAGATAAATTTATTTTACTAAATTTGCCATGGATCGAAATTTAAAAAGCCGAATCTCAGTTTTAAATGATCGACACAAATCAATTATTACAAAATTATCAATATGTAGAAGAGGAGTGAATAAAATAAGATAAAAATATACATACAATTAAGGATAACGTGGTGAAAACTGGTTTAATTTACGAATAAAAATCATGAAAAAATACGCTGGAGCTATGTTGGAGGATTCGAACCTGCACTCTGGGTACTCCCAAACTCACTCCTTAAACCACAGGACCACGAAAAGTTATAACTGTAACCTGGGATTCAAGGGAGAATACAGAGTGCAGGTTTGAATCCTCCTTGTGAATCCAACTAATTTTCTCATGTTAATGTGAATACTTTGTGCAATAAAAATCATGGTAAACTTGATGCTAGTCAACGCATCGTAGCAGCTGTTACTAAAACTTTAAGAAACAGCAAACTTTTACCTCAAAGACAATGAGAAAACACACACAAAGCGTGAAAGCAATTTTATATGAAGGTGATCATTCTTTCTTGCAAAGTGACCAAGAATTGCATTTGGAAGTGGCAAATTGGATTTGCAAACGGCTCGATTCAATATACATGGAAAATTTCAGCGCTGCCCTAAAACTTCAAGGATATAGGAACAAGCAACACAGCGATGATTTTGTTTTCACCATTTCCTAGTAATGTAACGAATTCATACATGCCGAAAATAGCCAGTTATTTCATGTAGGGTGTTCAATCTCAGTAATGATAGCTTTGTAAATTGCATTCAACTATTTTCATATGTAATTACTTTTCTACCCTAGTAATCACCACCTCGCTGTCGGAGCACTTAACATGCCAGGACACTATTCTTTTACAGCATTTTCAAAAAGCTATTAGAAATTCTATTAGCTTTTGAATTTCTAATAAAATTCTAATAATTTTTAATATAATTCTAATAGAATTTTTAATAGAATTCTAATAGAAATTCCAATAGAATTCTAATAGAATTTCTAATAGAATTTCTAATAGAATTCTAATAGAATTTCTAATTGAATTTTAATAGAATTTCTAATAGAATTCTAATAAAATTTCCAATAGAATTCTAACAATTTCTAATAGAATTCTAATAAAGTTTCTAATAGAATTCTAACAATTTATAATAGAATTTCTAATAGAATTTTATAATTATACATACAACAAAATAATGTATTAAACTGCAGTTTAATGACTGTCCAAACATCAGAATTTGAAGTCACCAAAAAAATAAATGTTATATTTTGCTCAACTTCATATTTCCTATTAGTAGACATGCCTGAAAAAATATTAGCTTATATAAGTTCCGTTATCTAGTTACTGCCTTTAATTAAAAATAACCATTTATCTCGCAGCGACAAAAGAGGGATATCAGTATAATGTTTCAAATGGATACCTTAATCTTATTTACTTGACTATGAACATGAGGTTTAGAGGAGTAAGTCTAGGCCTGCATACTGCTCTGTGGTTTACCAATATTGAGATACCGTACACCACTTATGTGGCTGCCAGTGTACTCTTAAGGCGGGTCTCAAGTAACTTTTCTTCAATGGTGTATAACAGACATAGGCAGTCACTAACGAAAATCACTCAATACCGCTTGTTGCCACAATTAATGACGATGAGTTATGTCCAACATTTTAGAATTTTGAATTTAGGAAACCTAGTCAATTTTCATAAACTTTGACATTTTAATATTATATACCTATATATATATATATATATATATATATATATATATATATATATATATATATATATATATATATATATATATATATATGTACATATATATATATATATATATATATATATATATATATATATATATATATATATATATATATATATATATATATATATATATATATACCTTTTTATATTCACTAAGAACTTCTTTGAACCGGTCAAGTTATGAACCCATGGCGTCCAGGATCACCCCCAAACATACACGGTACCGTGTGCGCTTGGGGGTGATCCTGGGCGTCATGGGTTCGAATCCTGGCCGGGTGAAAAGAGTTATGGCTTGCGCAAATGCAGCACTTGTCTTACACAGTCTGTTGTTGATAAAGACTCTGACGAGCCGAAAACGTTTCAACAGTCCCCTTTCCCACTTCTCTGTGGGGGGTTTTCCATAGCAAATTTTAATTGTTATTCTCACGTTTTAATTTCCTTGTTAAAATATTGAGATCAGGTCCATGTTAATTTTTTCAGATTGACACAAATTATTTTTAGGGGGACAAATAATATAATTACCCAAACCACATTAAACAAATTATAATTTAAATAATTATATTTTAAAAATAAAAATGAGTTGAACACATTAATTTTCACCTGTCATCCATTTAACCAGTGCACGCGTAAATACTTTAATAACCAGCACAAATCAGCTATGCATCTAACAATACATATTTCACATTTCGTATACATTATAGGACACTCGTTGCTTGTGTATTGATAATATGCTTGCACGATTGTAGCAAATAATTACTTCGATTGCCAAAATAATAATGTCGAATAAATATTAATAACAGTAAAAGCATTGAGGCTACACACACATTCGAATGAAAAATACGGTGATTTTGACATAATCAAATTATTACCACAGAAACTATCGTTATACAGACCGTTCTAATAGAAACTCTACACAGTGTCTACACATATGTGTATGGTTCTATTAAGACCTCTCTAACCTATATATATATATATATATAACATGATGCTGAATTTTGTCAAGGCAGCGTAGGTTCTACACTACCTAATTTTTTTTCAACTTCTTACGTACAAATATGTAAATGCACTTACTGTGAAGACGGTTTACCTGATACCACAGCTACTGTCATTGCTGATCTGTGCTCTAACTACCTTTACAAAATATGCTTCTAATAATAATACTCTTACTTCCATTGTTGTTAATATTACTCCTCCCTAATACTACTCCTGCTTCATTATAACTAATAATATTTCTCCTACTTCATTATAACTAATAATATTTCTCCTACTTCATTATAACTACTAATATTACTACTGCTTCATTGTACAAAAATATTATTCCATTATAACTAATAATATTACTTCATTCTAGCTAAAAATATTATCCCTTCACTTTAACTAAAAATACTACGCCTGCTTCATTATTACTAAAAATATTACTCCTTCAATATAACTAATAATATTACTCCTGCTTCATTTTAATTAATATTTCTCATCTTTCATTATAACTCCTAATACCACTCCATTTCATTATAACTGTTATTCCTGTTTTATTACAACTACTAACCTGCTTCATTAAATAAATTTTACTATTCATGTTTCCAGGACTTATAAGAAATCTCCAACCAATAAATCTGTTCAACCAATACTCATTTAGCATATTTCCTGAAAGCATGAGTACAGTATTAATTTTGATGTATTAAAATGCATGTTTAAGGGAGATATTAATCTAAGTTAAAAAAAAATTTAAGAGAGTTATGTAATAATTATGAGCCTAGGTATGTTATTCAGTCCTCCTGTTTATTAATAATATTTCAAAACCATATTTTAGGTGTCTAAAAAGAAAAACTATATTTGAATAACGAACTTGATACTTTTGGCCCAGAATCATGAGCCTCAGACAGGCTTTCCAATTAAATATAAATATTCTAGATTGTATTTAACACTTATTACTCCTACTTACATCAAGTTAGTACTTCCACTGGTATTACATCCCCTACCATTACCACAATCATATGTTACTTCCACTACCATTACTGCTACCACTAATGCAATTTGCATTACCATTGCTGCTACCACTGGTATAATTCCCACTTCCATTGCTGTTACGACTGGTATAATTCCCACTGCCATTGCTGCTATCACTGGTATAATTCCCACTTCCATTGCTGTTACCACTGGTATAATTTCCACTTCCATTGCTGCTATCACTGGTATAATTCCCACTTCCATTGCTGTTACCACTGGTATAATTTCCACTTCCATTGCTGCTACCACTGGTATAATTCCCACTTCCATTGCTGCTACCACTGGTATAATTCCCACTTCCATTGCTGCTACCACTGGTATAATTCCCACTTCCATTGCTGCTACCACTGGTATAATTCCCACTTCCATTGCTGCTACCACTGGTATAATTCCCACTTCCATTGCTGCTACAACTGGTATAATTTCCACTTCCATTGCTGCTACCACTGTTATAATTCCCACTACCATTGCTGTTACCACTGGTATAATTCCAACTGTCATTGCTGCTACCACTGGTATAATTCCCACTACCATTGCTGTTACCACTGGTATAATTCCCACTTCCATTGCTGCTACAACTGGTATAATTCCCACTACCATTGCTGCTACCACTGGTATAATTCCCACTTCCATTGCTGCTACCACTGGTATAATTCCCACTTCCACTGCTGCTACCACTGGTATAATTCCCACTGCCATTGCTGCTACCACTGGTATAATTCCCCTGCCACTGCTGCTACCACTGGTATAAATCCCACTGCCATTGCTGCTACCACTGGTATAATTCCACTGCCACTGCTGCTACCACTGGTATAATTCCCACTTCCACTGGTAGTACCACTGCTACTATTCCCACTTCCATTAGTACTACTTCCATTGCTGCTGCTACTACTTCTATGTGCATCATCACTGCTACTACCATAGGCTACTCCCACTACTAGTACTGCCCCCACAGCCTTGTGTCTCACCTTGGCCAGCCTGAGCAGTCAATCCTCGTCCATAGATGGGGGTGTGTAGCCTCCGTCCACTTCACCAGCGCCGTATAACGTTACAACTGTGAACTATTACGTTCAGTCGTACACGGAAGTTACATAAATATCCTATACGTTATCACAAAGTCATAATTTCAACGTTGTTATCTCAGCGCGAGTTCACTCACTAGGATTCATTTTCAATTTGCACATTTTCATTGTTAAATGAGTAATTTACCGTATCTTCCACTATAGCCACATAAATATAACATTATAAATTCCGGAAAACTTGGTTCGGTTGTTCAATAGCACATTTAACCTGTTCAAAGCCTGGGATGAACACTGTCAGGTGTTCAGAGTTGCTGGCATTTATGCACATTGTTTACATTCACATATGTATTGTTCATTAGTATGTTAAGTCGGCTTGTACCACAGCACATGACTCCACTCTAAATAAAAGACACTCGCTATGGGGGACAAATTTACCATACACTGTGTCAGCTGACTAGCGTGGCCGCCGCGTCTTAGTCAGCTGATGGCGCCAGCTGGCAAAACAAGGGACAAAGGAGTTGCGCATGTTTTATTCAGATGAAAAAAACATTGTTATTTTCAGGATTTTGTTTAAATTTAAATGAATAATTTTTCACAAAAATATTTGTTAAGGATTTTTTGGTTTGTTTTTTTTCCTTTATCTGCAAAGCATTTGTTTTAATTTGAATTTGAACACAGCGTAAAATGAAAAAATTGTTGACAGCATCGGATTTGCTGCACTGGTCGATTAGTCATTGTTGACTGGATAATTTTTTTAGACAAATTCGTTCACGTGCGTGGTATTGTTTGACAGACTTCTTAAAAATGTAACAAATATTTGTACTTGGGTATGTATACTAGATTGTATACTTGCTATACCTTAGCCTTGTATACTCCTTAGCAAGTATATTTTATGCTTGAACATAGTCCAGGACTTTAGAAAACTCTTCTCTCTCCTATCATCTCTACTCTCCAACTTTCTCCCCTAGGTTCCTCCCTCTCCTCTCCTTTTCTTCCCTATCTTCCCATCTTCTCTCATCTCTGTTCTCTCCTTATCTCTTCCCCGCTCTCCACCTTTATCCCCCTCTCTCCTTCCTTCTTCCCCATCATCACACGTTTTTTAAGGTTCTCAGTTGGGTTACTTATAATAATCTTACACTTTGAAGTATCTTGTAGAATAGTTCTAACTTTCTAAAAATAGACACTGCGGTCAAGTAAAATGTATGTAGCCGACCTATCTGTCTTCCTCACTATTATGCTAGTGTTATTACGCAAGTCCTTAGCCGCTTGGAGTAATTGAAGTGTGAGGAGCCCAGGAGTGTGGTGGTGTGAGGAGCCCAGGAGTGTGGTGGTGTGAGGAGCCCAGGAGTGTGGTGGTGTGAGGAGCCCAGGAGTGTGGCGGTGTGAGGAGCCCAGGAGTGTGGTGGTGTGAGGAGCCCAGGAGTGTGGTGGTGTGAGGAGCCCAGGAGTGTGGCGGTGTGAGGAGCCCAGGAGTGTGGCGGTGTGAGGAGCCCAGGAGTGTGGTGGTGTGAGGAGCCCAGGAGTGTGGTGGTGTGAGGAGCCCAGGAGTGTGGCGGTGTGAGGAGCCCAGGAGTGTGGTGGTGTGAGGAGCCCAGGAGTGTGGTGGTGTGAGGAGCCCAGGAGTGTGGTGGTGTGAGGAGCCCAGGAGTGTGGTGGTGTGAGGAGCCCAGGAGTGTGGCGATGTGAGGAGCCCAGGAGTGTGGTGGTGTGAGGAGCCCAGGAGTGTGGTGGTGTGAGGAGCCCAGGAGTGTGGCGGTGTGAGGAGCCCAGGAGTGTGGTGGTGTGAGGAGCCCAGGAGTGTGGAGGTGTGAGGAGCCCAGGAGTGTGGTGGTGTGAGGAGCCCAGGAGTGTGGTGGTGTGAGGAGCCCAGGAGTGTGAGGAGACCAGGAGTGTGGTGGTGTGAGGAGCCCAGGAGTGTGGCGGTGTGAGGAGTCCAGGAGTGTGGCGGTGTGAGGAGCCCAGGAGTGTGGTGGTGTGAGGAGCCCAAGAGTGTGGTGGTGTGAGGAGCCCAGGAGTGTGGCGGTGTGAGGAGCCCAGGAGTGTGGTGGTGTGAGGAGCATAGGAGTGTGTTGGTGTGAGGAGCCCAGGAGTGTGGCGGTGTGAGGAGCCCAGGAGTGTGGCGGTGTGAGGAGCCCAGGAGTGTGGTGGTGTGAGGAGCCCAGGAGTGTGGCGGTGTGAGGAGCCCAGGAGTGTGAGGAGACCAGGAATGTGACGGTGTTGCTTTTTCGTGCTTTCGGCTAGTGAAAACTCTAGTACCCGAGGTGGTACCCCCTATAAATATAAATATAAATATTGATATATGTATGGGATGTATGAGGAGAGCAACCCATCCTCCAGCCCAAGCAGGAAGTCAAATATTGACTTATAGTTAGATATAAATTAGGTTAGGTGTTTTTGTTACGTTTATACAGAAAATAATATTTTTTCGTTTATTTGTCTACTTTCATGTAAATATTTGTATACCTTGTGTAGGCAAGAAGGACTAGTGTTACCGGCATTAAAGTTAAGTTAGAAACCAAATGCTTTGTTCGTTAAACCCCTCTTGCCTAGTTATAGGCCAATTACCCATCTTGCCTTGCCAATTACCCATCCTTCCTAATGCCATAACGTCCCGTATGTTTACATGGGAGGGACGCCGGCGACCAACACCAGTGAAGGAACAGACGCGTGAAAGAGCATTCCTTCTCATCTACAACACAGAAGAGGTTTAAATATAATATTGGCAAGTGCACCTAACCATTTTAGATGAAATATTACATTCTTCTTTCCGGTGTCGTCAATGTCTGTCGCATTCATGAAGATAATTTAAGGAGCCAATTGGTCTCAGCGATTAGTTGATCTTCCAGCGTCTCGGTGCCTGAGTAGATTACGTAAGTATCAATCATCGGTTTTTGGGTACATATAACTAACGTTGTTCACATTTAGGGGCCATTCTTCGTCCCATTATCAATTAATTCTTCTTGCCAGCAGAATATTAGTAAATATTTAGAAAGCAATCTTAAAGCTTTAAGTAAAAGTTTAACTGCCTTTCCCACCAGAAAGGCATTTTGTAAAGTGAACGAAGCATGATGTTTCGAGTCAAAGTCCACCTAATCATGTTCAAGGCTATAAGACCAAATACTGACTTATGTAGAGCTTTGTAGTCAATATTTTTTACTTGTACGTTGTGAATCTCACAGCCCTTTGTTTTGATAATGGGCTGGAGGATAGGCTGCAATATTAACAACTGAATACATTTCAACTGTTTTTGAAATGTGCTTAACTCTCTTTTTTCTGCTCGAATCGTACATTTTTTAAATGCTTCATCTACGCCAGCCTATTATGAACACACCCTGTCCTCAAACAGCCCGTCCTCCAAACAAAGATCCAAAAGTGATTCCATGCACCCGCCAAACCCCCTGTTTATGAATGAAAAGCGGTTTACACACGACTCACAACTGCTGACGTTCGAACATGTCTGGAACAAGTGCTTCACTGACGAATTTTGTTCGAATCACAACGCTATAAATGCTCAGCCCATCCTCCAAACAAAGATCCAAAAGTGATTCCATGCACCCGCCAAGCCCCCTGTTTATGAATGAAAAGCGGGTTACACACGACTCACAACTGCTGACGTTCGAACATATCCGGAACAAGTGCTTCACTGACGAATTTTGTTCGAATCACAACGCTATAAATGCTTCACTGACGAATTTTGTTCGAATCACAACGCTATAAATGTTCACCCACGTACTACAAATACAAATAATCGGCAACAGAACCTAAACACCTGACCTAACCTATCCTATGCCTATATATACACAATATGCTAATATATTATAATATTAATTTATACTTGAGAAAATTCCCGTTTTGAATGAACAGCATGTTAAAATTTATGAATGCGTCTGTGGGGTTGACCGCTGAATGTAATGGACTTGAGTCGAGGATGGGTTGCCTCATAAAGCAACCTGTCCTCTTAAAAATAACGTCGCTTTTGGCCGTTTGCCCGTATGGCCGAATTTGGACGTAATTTGAAAATGGAAAAAAAACATGAAAATAAATTTGGGATTTTTTTTTAGACAACAGTAAGTTAAGGGTCCTCTGATAGGTTAGGTGGGCAGGAAATTCTCATAAAGTTTCAAAACGTTGTGAAAAACGTTAATTGAAAGTCATCTATTCTAACCTTACAGAGTCGGCCGGACGACTCAAACAGAAAACGGAACAGTACGTCACTTTTGTGAGTCGATTTCATGTCAAATTACGTCCAAATTTGGCCATAGTGCGCATACGAGCCAAAAGTGACGTTATTTTTAAGAGGACGGGTTGCATAAAGGGCACACACTCTTATTCCAGCCGCCAAACCTCCTGTTTATGAATGAAAGACACTTTACACACGACTTTCTCGAACAGTGTTTCACTCAGGTCTTCTGTTCGAATCGCACTTCTGTAAAGGCTTCACTCACGCACAACAAATACCAATAATTGCAGCCGGTCCTCATTAACAAATGCCAAATATTCATTCCATGCAGTCGCCAAACATCTTGTTTGTGAATTAAAAACGCATTACACACTATTTACAACTAATGATGTTCGAACATTTCTTGAACAGTACTTCACTGATGACCTCTGACTCGCAACTTTATAAATGTTTAATTCACGTATTATAATTACAAATAAATACCAACAGAATCTAAA